CACTGGATAGCTGGCCAATCACAGCACACCTCGCTTTTTCAGACCGATGAGCTTTGTAAAAATCGACGTGTTTCAAAAAGGCGGGGCATAGAGGAGAAACAATAATGTACAGTATGTGGAAAATAATGTGTTTTTTGAACTTTAAACCGCATAAACACATTTCATTACACCAAATACACAAAATAATGTTCTTTTTAGAAGCATCATATGACCCCTTTAATGTCTTTTAGGATAAAAATGAACTACGTATCCCATAAAGCATTGCAAATTACATCAATGAATCAGATACAACAAGAGGATATAAAACTATTTCAAAATATTATATAAACAATATATTAAGTTTACTGCAAAATACACTATAGTTTAAAAGCTTGGGGGTTGGTAAGATAAAAAAAAAAAAAATGTTTTTGAAGTTTCTTATGCTTGCCAACCATATATTTAATAAAAAAGTAATATTGTGAAATATTATTACAATTTAAAATAATTAGTTTATATTTTAATATATTTTAAAATGTAATTTATACCTGTAATGGTAAAGCTGAATTTTCAGCAGCCATTACTCCAGTCTTCAGTGTCACATGATCCTTCAGAAATCATTGTAATATGCTGGTTTAAAAAAAAAAAAACAGTAAACAGTTGTGCTGCGTAATGTTTTTGTGGAAACTGTGATACATTAGTAGTGTATTCATATTTATTCAAATATAAAAGTAACTTGATTTTGGATTTATGTTTTCATTGATACAGAGTGATATCTCTGAGTATGGGTAGTTTAGTGCATCATATGTGCTTTTTTAAATCTGTAGGTATAAACAGATGATGCAGAATCTGAAACAGACCATGATGGTGGTCGTGGAATCACTGATCAATAAATTCGAGGAAGATCAGCTGAAGAAAGAGGAAATGGACAGGAAGAGCCAACATGAGCAGTCAAGCAGCCATTACACTGACAACTGCTCTGACAGTGACTCTTCATTCAATCAGGTTGTTGTTGTATAAGTTTAAATAAGTTACAGAGGCTCCTGTTGTTTCTTTGACAAGCATATCATCCTGTTTATCTAAGCCTTTCACATACTATGACTGTACATTCATACTATAGACTGAATGACTAACTAATGCAGTGTTGGGCGTAACACAAGTAATGTGAGTTACGTAGTCAGATTACTTTTTTTAAAGTAACTAGTAAAGTAACGCATTACTTTTTCATGTACAAGAAAATGTCTGAGTTACTTTTTCAAATAAGTAACTCCAGTTACTTTGTTTCCATGTATTGACTGACAGCTCTGGTGTTGACATGGTGACAGAAATCAGGAGTAAGTGCAGAGGTGTTGTGTGTGAACATGATCTTACTGTAGTTCTAGACTAAATATGAACATGTATTTACTCATCTCACCTGCACAAAACAGATTCAGCATTCCTCAAAATGAATAAAAACAGTAAAAATGCAAACTCAAAATATGACACAAACCTGCATAAATATGCTTTATGTATTTAATCCCATTTTATTAACCAATGTCTTTGCTACTGACCTTGATCCAACTGATCCAATGATCCAATTCAGCCATACAAATAAGCAAAAATTAGTTTAGATAAAAATAACATTTGTGTGTGTTTTTTTTACTGCTGATCGAAGAGTGTTGAGCTTTCTCTACTTAAGCCTGAGTCTCATTCATATCACATTTGGTGTTAAGGGGCTTTTACATTTGCCAAAAATATAGCTTTTTTTATATTAAAAACAAACAATCAAGCCCAGCCCAGATTTAAAAAGTAAAGCAAAAGTAACGTAATGCATTACTTTCCATAAAAGTAACTAAGTAATGTAACTAGTTACTTTTTTAGGGAGTAACGCAATATTGTAATGCATTACTTTCCATAAAAGTAACTAAGTAATGCAACTAGTTACTTTTTTAGGGAGTAACGCAATATTGTAATGCATTACTTTTAAAAGTAACTTTCCCCAACACTGCTAATGTCTTTGATTTCAACACGTAGAGCTATGCATTTATCAAGCATGAACAACTGCAAGTCATCGCTGAGAAGCTTGACCCCGGTAGACCACGAGAGGTGAAATCTCCTCTGATACACCCACTTCCCATAGTTTCAATTGTAGAAAGAGAGAATTGTCATTCTGATTCAGAGATGAAGCAGTCATCCTGATCTGTTTAATTGCAGGTTCGCTTGGAAGCTTTGCAGTCATTGTGCTATGCCCCTCCCTCTGATGGCCTGAGCTGTGAAAGCTGGACTGGCCTGCGCCGAAACCTCTCTGCTGCGCTCACTGACCCTGACCCTGAGCTCAGCGTAAGAGATAAGTGCTAAATAAGCACTGACCTTAGCCATGGCCTCAACAACAAAATAGTTACCTTAGCAGCTTAATGTGGAATACAAGGGCCAACATTTTCAAGCAGTTTCCAGAGAATTGGAACAAAATAATTGTTAACTGAAATAAAATAAAAATAAAA